GGTACCGGGCCCTTTGATACGGACTGTTAGGTCCCTGTATGACCGGCGTCAGAACCTGGTCCGCATTGCCGGCAGTAAGTCGGGCTTGTTCCCGGTGAGAGTTGGACTCCGCCAAGGTTGCCCTTTGTCACCGATTCTGTTCATAACTTTTATAGACAGAATTTCTAGGAGCAGCCAAGGTGTTGAGGGGATCCATTTTGGTGGCCTTAGGATTGCGTCTCTGCTTTTTTCAGATGATGTGGTCCTATTGGCGTCATCAGATCATGATCTACAGCTTTCACTGGAGCGGTTCGCAGCCGAGTGCGACACGACCGGGATGAGGATCAGTTCCTCTAAATCCCAGGCCATGGTATTGAGCCGGAAAAGGGTAGAGTGCCCTCTCCGGGTCAGGGAGGAGGAGGTTCTGCCCCAAGTGGAGGAGTTCAAGTATCTTGGGGTCTTGTTCACGAATGAGGGAAAAATGGAACGTGAGATGGATAGGCGGATAGGTGCAGTGTCTGCAGTGAAGCGGGTGCTGTACAGGTCTGTCGTGGTGAAGCGAGAGCTGAGTCAAAATGCAAAGCTCTCAATTTACAGATCGATCTACGTTCCTACCCTCATCTATGGTCATGAGGTTTGGGTTGTGACTGAAAGTACGAGATCTCGGATACAAGCGGCCGAAATGAGTTTTCTCCGCAGGTTGTCTGGGCTCCCCCTTAGAGATAGAGTGAGAAGCTCGATCATCCGGGAGAGACTCAGAGTAGAGTCGCTGCTTCTCCACGTTGAGTGGAGCCAGTTGAGGTGGCTCGTGCATCTGGTTAGGATGCCTCCTGGACGCCTCCCTGGTGAGGTTTTCCGGACATGTCCCACTGGGAGGAGACCCAGAGGAAGACCCAGGACACGCTGGAGGGACTATGTTTCTCGGCTGGCCTGGGAACGCCTCGGGATTCCCCGGAGGAGCTGGACCAAGTGGCTGGGGAGAGGGAAGTCTGGGCCTCCCTACTTAAGCTGCTACACCCGCGACCCGACCCCGGATAAGCAGAAGAATATGGATGGGTGGATGGAAAAAAGGCTTAAAACAGGGCTGATGATCCATTGTTAGGCTGATGGTCCTTGACCATGTGAGCAGCTGGTTTTGGTTGTCAGCAGCAAACTGGTTGATCCACTCTGAGAAGGTGCTATTTAAGAGACTGAGCTGAATACAGCACCTCAGACTGAGGAAGTCTCTCGTCGGAGAGACGAAACGTTTCTACATTTTTTTTTAGCTTTGTTTTTTTTTTTTTGTTTTCTTGTTTTTTGAATGTTCAGAGGACCAGATTGAACTTTTTTGGATTTTTCTACCTGGATTATTGAGCATGTATCAGGATGTTAAAACAGGGCTATTCAACAAAACTGCTCAGGGAGCCACAGTTTCTGAAAACCAACAGCTCAGGGGCCAGCGATTAAAATCATTATGTATATAAACCAAAGTTTACAATGATCTGTTACCTTTTAAATTTGTTTATTTTATTGCATTGAATCAAAAATGCAATAAACAGAACCCAAACCCAGAACCCCCTTCTTTTTTTTTTAATGAAGTGGGCCGGATTGAAGTTCCAGCCCGCGGGCTGCCAGTTAAATGGCCCTGGTTTAAAACATCCAAAAGTTTGGACTCTTTTGCACTTTACTGACTTTTCTATTGCATTCATGAAAATTAAAAACAATTGTTTAGTTATGTGACTTAAAAATTTTGAAATCATTACAAATGTAACATCTTAAAAGGAAATACACACATACATCTGATGTTATGAGTTAATTGTGGAACATTCAAGGCATTAGTGGGTTTGATTTTAACCTGATATTCTGCACCTTGAACATTCACAGGAAATTCTCTCATCATTGCTATAAATTGATTGTGCTGCAAATAGAAACATTATTTCTCTATTTTCAAGTTTCTCTCCAGTTCCAGTATCAGATTCAGATTAAAAATCTTTAACTCAAATTAATATTAAAAGTTACAAAAAGAAAAAGAAGCACCCAAATCTGTCTGCAAGTTTCTCCAGCAGCTCAGAGCCACAGAAAGCTGATCATTACCCGAATGAGCTCACAGACATGACACTAATCTGGCTAACGATGCAGGAATCATCAGTTTGTGCGAGTTGACGTGTTCAAGAGTAAATAAGAAAGTTAAAAGTGCAATTTTATGTGTGAATATGTTTGTGCGAGAATTAAGCTGGTCACCCAGTTGGCAGCTGCAGGGAAGAGCTGGGGGAATGAAGCGTGCCGCCAGCTCCAGATATACTACTGACTGGTACGGCTGCAGGGATAACTCTGGCTTAGACTGCTGGGAGACTGTCAGACACACACTCGCACACGGCAGATGGAATATTTATCCGTCCTCATCAAACTCATAAAGTTTCGAGGGTGAGGCAAACTAGGAGATGTTTAGTGTTGTTGCAGTGCACACACAGAGCAGTTTGTGGAAATTTGAGAAGTTGTTTTTGATGATGGTGAGCGGTGTGTGAACATAAAGAAGATGAAAATGTACAAAATGATCAAAATGTACACAAATAAGCCAGCTCTGTTGGTTGTGTGTAAGGGAGGGTGTGTGTTTGTTTGACCCAGGACTAAAGAAGGTGGTGGCAGCTCGGCTGCAGGCAGGGAGCAGATTAATCCACACAGAGACAGAATGTTGCCCTACAGCCTCAAGGCATGGAGGCACTGGAGTGTGTTTGTGTGTACAGTTTGTGCGGTTCTGTGTGTAGAAATTAGCAAAATGTGCTGACAAATAAATAGGACGAGGCAGAGGCTGTGTAGATCACCGGCAGGAGAGGTGCAGGGAGGAGGTTGAAAGCAGCAATGATGGAGATGGGTCTCGACCCATCCTGGTCCCAGTTTGGGCAGCCATGTGGCAGCTAGCTGCACTTCCTGCTGCTCGCAGGACGGGGGCTTTGGCAGCCGGGGCAGGACAACGTGGGATGGGACAAGCACACATAGCCTGTGGCTGTACCAGCCCAGCTAACCAGCAGGGAACACACACACACGCACACACACACACCTCATATACTGTGGCCATACAATCCCATATTGCTGATGTCAGACACAGACCTCGCATCTCCACAGTGTCATAATTTGGAAACGGGTTTATCCTGACAATCTGCTAACATTTTGAAATGTTCCACTAACAGCTGACTGTGCTGCTATGTTTGTAAAACATTTACAGTGAAAAGGTCAATGCCCGACATATACAGCACGCAAAACGAAATAAAAACACACAAATAAATGGAAAAAGACCAACATACACCCCCTTTTAACACTCTCTGATAAGCCACAAAGATACGTGTCAAATACGAAAAATATGGAACAAAAAACAGAGAAAACACTCCCCATGTGTTTTCTACGATCCCGTTCCGTCCCTTTGCTTATTGTTCATTAATCTCACACCATTTTTTTTTGACCATTCTTGAAAAAGCAACAACACCTCAGTTTAACACGTTACATGATTTACTTTGCTTGTTGTGATGCATCAGAGTGTGAGTTCACTTTCTTCACTTCTAATCTACCGTCTTTACTGACGGCAAACACAGGAACTATCTGAATTTCACTCCTGTAACCCTGAAATATTTTCTCTCCTTTCTCATCTTTCTGTCTTCAACCCCCCCTCCCCCACTTTCTCCTTTTTTAATCCCAGCTACTTTGCATCTCTGTAACTTGGCTCTGAGCAAACTGTGTTATTTTTACACGCGGGCGAGCGGAGCGTGCGTGCGGGCGGGCGAGTGGCGGCGGTGTAGATTTCCAGGTTTTTTTTTTTTTCCCGAGCACCTTCCTCCAACCTCGCCCATCTGCCGCCATCTGCCTCGCTTTAGCCCGCACTTTCTACAGCAATAACACACACAGCGCACACAAATAAACGCAACGCAGACGCACATCCTGTGAAAAATAACCAACAGTCTCCAATCAGCTTTTGGCATGCAAAGGAAGACTTAAAAAAATAAAAAGGCACAAAATGTTGCGCCAAATTGTCTTCCATACTTTTTTGAGTGGGATATATATACTCTGCTTTTCTCCTCCTGTCTTCGAATCCACATCTCCATCGCTCGGCTTCCAACACCTACAGTCCTGCGTCGTCGCCGCCAGTCGATCCTCTGGCCTCCTGGTGAGGCAGCGCTGACGACTGGACGGCAAATAATAATAAAAAAAAGATTCTGGGAAAATGTGTGTGTGTGTGAACACTGTGCTGTGCCCTTTTTCAATTCAACCAACACTCTCATTCACACTCGTAAGCTGCATATTTACTCTTCACCCTGATATTATGGAAATTATTTGCTTGTGAAATCCAAAAATAAAATTGTGCACGTACAAATCCTACTATTCAAGTGTCCTAATGAAACGCATAGAGGTGGTGAGGGTCTGTGAGAGAAACCACTGCTTATTGATGAATGCGTCCTGAGCTTGTGTGTTGTGTGTTTGCACCCAGCCTACAGCCGTTTATCAAAGATCAGTAATAATCCTGGTGGTTAAACTGATCAGCCAGGGCTGCTGTTAGATAAACAGGCGCTGTGCAGCGGGCGTCACGGTTCCCACAGTTTACAGGGGCCGTCTTGGTGGAGCCCCGAACGGCGCAGAAACTGCCTAATGGATAAACCGCCTGTGGATGCCACAGATGCTTTTGTGTTGTTCAAGGCCTCAGTCAATCTGCTCAGTTTATAGATCACAACAGTCAGTCACTGACATTTATCTCATTCATCAGCTAAATAAAGCATTTTGGAAAAGTGCATGATGCGTCATTGAGGTCCCCCATAAATTTATCACCATTTGGTCACACTGGATACTTAGTGGGTTAATATTAAAGCAAAAATTAGGGTTCAAACTTCATCCTAATTGTGCAAAACCTTGTATTTATCGATGGGTAAAAAGGGAATATTGAACAAAGTTAAAAAAAATAGAGAGAGTGGAAATAAAAGATGGAATAGGCCAAATACATTAGAGAATAAAAAACAGTCAAACTGATAATTGTTTTATTAAAAATGAGGATGTTTTACCTCAGGTGCGAGGTACTCTGGCGTCCCACAGAAGGTCTTCATAGTAGCAGCATCAGTGATGCCCTCTTTGCAGAGTCCGAAATCAGTGATCTTTATGTGGCCGTCTTTATCCAGCATCAGGTTCTCCAACTGGACGGAAAACAAACAAACACGACTCGGTGACTGGAAATCATCACAGTGCTTACAGTGAATGCTTTGTTAAACCGATCAAGATCATTTTGTGGACAGTGGAGCCAAGGTTTCCTCTCAGAGCAGAGGTGGACAGATTAACACAGAGATGTTGTTGTTGTTGCAGACACACTGACACACAACTCTGAGCAAACGAGGGAAATAAACTTCAGGCGTGTTTTGTAGCTGCTCAACCTTTTAATTTTAATGGCTGAAGTGTTTTTCTCACTGTGGCTGCTTGTTCTCCTGTTTTCTTGGCTGCTGTTTGTAGGGCTGAGGCCAAGGCTGCCAGGCAGGCACTCAGACAGAGCCATCTACCTCTACCTCTGTGGCATCAGCACCACCCCCTCCTCCCCCCACCTGCTTCCACCTCTTGCAATTCTTCACTGCTTTGTGTCTGTTTGGGCTCACTCCTGCACCACTTTTTAATTACACCAATTTCTGAGCTACTTGTCTCCAACAGGATGACAAAATAAATAAAGAAAGAAAGCCGACGACGCAAAAAAGATGTGTCTGATCAGTCTCCTCCGTGCAACCCCCCCTCCTGCCTTCTGCCCCCGGTTCTGTTTACCTTCAGGTCCCGGTACACAATCTTGGCTGAATGCAGGTAGTCGAGAGCTGAGACGATCTCGGCGCCGTAGAAGCGCGTGCGCTCCTCCGAGAACACTCGCTCTCTGGACAAATGGAAAAACAGCTGCAGGAAAAAGGCGGGAGAACAAGAGAGGGGGGGAGGGGAGGAAAAGGGGGGAGACAGCAGGGACGGCACAGCAATAATTACTGATTTATTGGAGGAAATTAGCACAACACAAACTGGCTGCCCGCACCATATTGAGATGATAGATAGCGGAGGGGAGTGTGAGTGCGGTGTGTGTGTGTAGACGGGCTGCATCAGTGAGAGTTGGGGGGTGGGGGGGGGGGGGGGTGTTGGCACTTGCAGAAGGACGGGTGGAGGCGCCCGGCAGCTGGCGCCTCATCTAGCAGCCCCTTCCTTACCCCACACATACTTCTTCCCTGTTACCCTCTGGGCTGCATTGGCATGGTGCAGGCGAGGATCTTGGCGATGGGGTTTAATCAATACACCGGTCTAGTTAAAGACGGGCCGAGCGTTGCTGCAGCCAACACCACCACCCTCACCAAACTGCCTCCGATGCAGCACTCATTAGTGGCCTAACTGGCCTTGCCCTTGAGCCTCCATCTTCATCTGTTACCTTCTTACATCCAACCTTCTCTGTTTTTTACCAAGATGCTAATTCAGCCTGTCTCGCTTTTTAATGCCCCACCTCCCGATCCCGTCTCTTCCTTCGTATTTTCTCCCTCGCTGTCAGTTGTCAGGTCTGCTGCACAGCAACACATGTGGCGCCAAAATGACACCAGCCTGCTGTGCTAAACCAGTTGAGTTGTACAAATTACCCACGAGGCCAAGGGGCACACATCTTCCCATTAATTGTTCAGGGAGGTTTGCATATGGACACTGGAGTGAGGCTCAGGGACCACCTAGCTCTCAGGATGCCCATGTCTCTGTGTGTGTGTGTGTGTGTGTGTGTGTACGTGTGTGTGTAGAGGTAACACGACAGGTGGGCCTTCATCAGTGTACTGGCAGCTGTGACTGTGGCAGGTTTGTAATGGCTTGTGTACGTGTGTGTTTTTGTGGTATGTGTGGTCACAATTTGTCCGCTGAGGTAAAAATTTCCTGTGTGTGTGTTTTATGTGCGTTTGCTGGTGCTTTCTCTGTGTGTGTTTGCCCGGCCCTGGCACTGGCTGAACTACATAACTATCTGGGAGGGGAGCAGGTGACAGCTACACTAAGGGAATGAAACAAGATTGCAAAAACGGCCCGATTAAAAATTTGAGAAATGGAAAAGTGAGGGAATCCAAATTCATTTCATCTCTGACTGTCATTCTGGCTATATTTGCCCCCATAGGTGTTTTCATAAATAGACACAAGCAGGAGAGAAATGGAAGAGAAAAGAAGCGAAGAGAGAGGCCAATTGGTTGGCAAATTAACGGTTAGAAAGGAATCCAACAGTTGAACTTCAGCTACTTCTCCAAGTATTGCTGCATTAATTTACTATACAGTTAATGAAGATTCATTTTCAACTATAACATATTGTCCTGTAAAAACAACCATAGCACTCTTTGCAGATGTTAAAAGAACTAAGATCTTTGTCATTTTTTTTATAAGCAATATTTTTGCACATTATAGTGCTTGCAACAACTCAGACCAATCTTTTGCAGTAGCAGTTTCAAAGTTTGTGCACGCGTCTAATTCACAAAACCCTCGCAAAGGGAGCTTTGCGCCTCAAACTTGGCTGTCAACCACGCATCGTCTCTCTGTGCTGGTGCAGTTTGCTCATGTTTAAATGAGAAATGCATGTAGAGGAAAACCCTCCCGTATTTATATAAATTACAGTCAGGGCAAAAATAAATAAATAAATAAAAGTAAAACTCTATGAGTCTCAAAGATCAGCATTGTTTGCAACATGAATTTAGAGTCAAACATTCACCGACTTCTGGGAGCTTGTGTTATTTACATCTCTGAAGAAGCAAGTGAGGATGTTATGAACTGTTGCCTTCAGAAAAAGAGGGCAGACGTGTCGAAAACTGTATTAATTTTTCATCCAGTGATGAATATCAGACATAGATGCGTTTACAAATATATTGTTTTAAAAAAAGGGGGGTAAATTATTGATGTTTTAGATTCAGAACGCAAAATGTTCTCACTAAAGGACCTTTAAACAGATATATCTTTACATCTAGAGATCAAGAAGTAACAAATACAGTTAAAAGTAATATATCTCCCCCATTCTGGTGCCATAAGGGGTGTGGGGTGTCCATACAGAAGAAATTCAAATGTATAAAATGAAACTAAAAGGATTCAGAGGATCAGTGAAGCCCAGAACGTGATTCTTTCCTGATACAGTCAGATGTTGTTCAGGCAGTTTTAAGGAGGTTTTTTTTGTATTTGTTTGTTTAAACCTGGAGCTTACTGTGAGAAAGCATCTTTCTCTCAGTCTTTTTGTAGCTGATGTGCTTGTGGTGTATGGACATATTTACTTTGTGCTGTGGCACAACTGCACTCTGTCATGTTCTGATGCAAAAAGAGCGTAAATTGCTGACACCTGCTGAACTTGATGCCAACAATTCTGTATTTTCCGCTGTACACGTCGCAACGCCTTATAAGTCACATCAGTCCACATATGTCTAATAAAGAGGAAAAATCCATAAATAAGTCGCTTCGCTGTAAAAGTCACATCTATTATGTGTCACCGCTGACAACCTGGAAATGTGGGCTGGTGTTGTGCCAAAAATAGATTGGCCGCCAAATGGCGGCTGTAGGAGCGTGCACGGGAGGACTTTAACAAGATTTTAACAAGATTAACACTTAAAAACAATTATTTGTTGGCTCAAAATGATAGTAAAGGTGTGTCTCAGTCTAACTTTTCCTTAATAAATGCACTTTGATGGTCATATCAGCTGCATTTCAAAAGCCTATTCGCGGAAGCGGGAGTGAGCAGAGGGACATGTCGCTGTGTATTTCTTCAAAATTTAACAAGATAAGCACCTAAAACAATTATTTGATTGCTCGACTTTATCACAAAGGTGTGTCTCAGTTGAACTTTTACTTAATAAATGCATTTCAATGGTCAAATTAGCTGCATTTTGTGGGGGTGGAGCAGCAAAATTAAACTGATTTGACGGTTGCTCCAAGCAAGCTGGACAAAGGTGGCAGCCTATGGCAAGCCGAATGTGTTATTAATGGCCACTTTTACGTATTACATGACACCACAGCATGCCATACTACTGGAGTGCCATCTAGCGGCTGAAAATGGTAGTGTTCAATATTTTCAGTCAGAATGAATGAAAACGGTCACATCTCAGCCAAAAATTGGTTTATAAATATGGAAAAAAATCCATAAATTCATTGCTTTGATGTATAAGTAGCAGGGCATGTAAATTATGCAAAAAATGACGACTTATGGGATGAAAAGTACAGTAACTGATTCTGTTTGCTTTGCTGAATAGATGAAGGTGGGGCAGAAAGGATACAATGCTCCGTTTTGGTGAATCTGTATTTGGAAGACGATCCCTTTAAACCCATACCCCACCCTCACCTGCAATCAAATATAAAAACTTTGAGATGTTTTACTTATTTAATCTAGAATCTTCTCCGTGCTCACTAACATTTCCCCCAATCACTCTTAGTATGCTGCTGCTATAGCTTTTAAATGTACTTTAAATTTAATCAAAATAAAGTTGATATGTGAGAATACATACAATTTTCTGTACATGCGTATGCAACTATAGGAGTAAATTTTATTTGGATTTTACAACGTTTCCGAACATTTCTTGAAATCGTGTCAGCTTTCTTTAACTGGAAAGTGATCACTCAAAACACTTGTGGACACGCAAATGTTTGAAAACTGAACGACTATTTAATGAAAACGAACACCAGAAAAATCTAGAAAAACGTTGATTAAAAACGTTAAAATGTTTGTGCCGTTAGTTTGGACGCAGCTTCAGCTTGACAGGAGAACAAGAGCAGCTCTAATTGCTGTCAGTTACTGCAGTGGAGATGTGGTTCAACTGGCTGTTTAAAGCAATAACACACATGGGTAACCACAAACAGCAAAAGCATCATCAAAGGGTATGTGGGTGTCTCACCTCTCCCCCGTTCACGTACTCCATGACGAAACAGAGCCGGTCTTTAGTCTGGAATGAGTACTTCAGGGACTGAAACAAAAATGAAGAATGTGTACAGTTTAAACAACTTCTCTACTGGGTAAAGAGCTCCATCCAGTTCTAGATCCAGTGTACATACCTGCTTTTATTGTGACTGTCACTGTTTATGAAAATTAAATCTGAAGAGCGCAAAGTGGACCAAATGATCCCGTCAAATATTGGACACTTTAAACTTTCAGCTGTGTTCCTGTGAGATTTAAAATACAATCTGTTGAGCAGGGGGCTAAGCTAAATATCAGCTGTGGATGTTATCACCTGGCACCAGTATTTGGCAAATATATAATTGTCTGTGTCTGTGTGTTCGTTTGCCTGCCTGTTAGCAAAATATCTCAAGAAGTAAAGAATGGATTTTAGTGAAACTCTCAGAATGTAATTACAGAAGCTGGTCATAAAATTAGAATATCATGAAAAAAAGTTGATTTATTTCAGTAATTCCATTCAAAAAGTGAAACTTGTATATTATATTCATTCATTACACACCGACTGATATATATATATTTTTTTCATTTAGCCTTTATTTATCCAGGTTAGTCTCATTGAGCCACGAGAACTCATTTTCAAGAGAGACCTGTTTAGGGAGCACATGGTGGGGGTTAAGGGCCTTGCTCATGGGCCCAGAGTGGGGCGAATGAGGGTGGGGGCAAGTGTGGGTGTTTCACCTACCCCACCCACAATTTTTGATGTTGTCGGGGCTGGGGCGTGGGCAAATTTGTTTATTCAAATGTTTATTTCTTTTAATTTTTACGATTATAACTGACAACTAATGAAAACCCCAAATTCAGTATCTCAGATGACACGGCACCCCAAACCATCACTGACTGTGGAAACTTGACACTGGACCTCAAGCAATGTGGATTCTGTGCCTCCCCTCTCTTCCTCCAGACTCTGGGACTTTTTCATGATATTCTAATTTTATGACCAACACCTGTACTGGGAAAAAACACGCTGAACTGATTAACTTTTGGCAACAACTTGCTTCGTGATGACCGTCACAACTAATAAACTTTAGCAAACACACCAATAGCTTGGTCAGATATAAAATAATATAAATAAAATAAATAATAAATTAATAATAATATAAAATAACTGTCAAACTCACAGGTAATGACTAGGCCTGTCGCAATAAACAATAAATCAATTAATCACATGATTAATAAAAATTATCAACCTCATTTTCATTTATCAGCTTTATCGTTTCTTCATCTTTCTCTTTCTACTGAAGACACTGGATGACAAAAAGCTCAACTCCGGTGCTCTTCACTGACCCCTCCCTTTCTCTTTAAAATCCATTTTAACCGTCCAAAATCACGTTTTTGGATCGTTAAAAGCAGCTAAGCTGAGAAGCTAAGCTACGAGCTAAGCCAACAGGCCGACCTCGGGGAAAAAACCTCCGTCTTGTCCAAGCTCCAAAATTCACAGTTGAAACCTGTGCCTTCGTCTAAAAAGTTGTTTTTCTCCGCAAAAAGAAGCTGAGAACTTGTTTACTGATTTTTTTTTAAATTAAAAGCTATATGTGAAAAATGCTATGCTAAAGAGCTCAAACCAAACCGAGCGTCCGCCATTTTGAGAACAAGAGACAGCCCATGTCACGTCAAGGGGCCTCTCTCCCATTTTTCTTAAAGAGACATGCTGCTCGCTCCCTCACTATCCATCCTTCAGTTCGAACAGTCTTATACTGCCATCCAGTGGTAAAAAAAAGGAACTACTCTCTAAACAAATTAACCAACATTTCTTCTTAAATTTGACAATAATTACTAATTATTGTCAAATTTCAGACAATATTATCATTTATCGCAATAATTTGAGACAATTAATCGCCCAGCAAAATTTGTTATTGTGACAGGCCTAGCAATGAGCTAAAATTTGGCATAGTAGTAGCTAAGCGTATTTCACAAAACAAACTGTGGGTGCTAACAAATTGGGAAGATGTTTATTTGAAACCTTTTCATGCTCTGTGGCAGGTCATGTTCATTTTTTTTAATAATGCTGGCGACTTAATTATTATTTTTTATAATTTTGCCCATTTATCCTGTGGCTGTTCTCTTTATGCTCCCTGTATAGCGCACACTGAAGTGAGCAAATGCTGTTTGCGCACACATGTAAGTCCAGTCCTGTTGGAGCTGAAACAGCAGGCACAATAAAAACATCATTCTTAGCTTCAGACTGTTTCGTCTGAATTTGATCGTTCAAAGTCAGCGCTGCACAAGTGTGCGCGTTGGATGTGCGCTCGTGAGGGAGAAGGCTGCTGAACAAAAGAACAGTTGGTGAAAGTCTCTTTGTGGCTGCAGGTGTGACAGGAGTGAACTCAGTTATGAACCATAATTGCTCCCTTGACAGGGTGAAGTGTAAGCGTGCATATATGCGTGTGTGTGTGTGTGTATGTGTGTGCGCAAGATAAAAGACAGAAATAAAAAGCAGCTAATATGTGTACACAGAATTTAAGTAATGTGATCAGTAAGGTTCAATAGTTTATAACCCTAACATAAGACACTAAGGTATGTAGAGGATCAATTTACTGTGTGTGTGTGTGTGTGTGTGTGTGTGTGTGTGTGTGTGTGTATGAGGTACTTACAGTGAGAAAGGGATGTCTGGTGTTTTTCAGTACTCTGCTCTCTGTGAGTGTGTGAGCCACTTCATCCTGTTCAATAAAACATTAATTTTGATCAAATATAATAGCAGCTTAAGAGTACAACAAAAACTAATAACTGTATACACATACAGATATTAAAAACTTTACTCAAAACTGAAAATGTTTTGAAAAATAAACAGCCTTTTTTTTCGATGTAGTTGAAGCTCCATGCCAGACAAACCTTGGCGATGATGACTTCTTTTTTAAGGATTTTCATGGCGTAATATTTCCCGTTGGCTTTTTCCCGGACAAGAATCACTTTACCAAATGTTCCCTTTCCCAGCAGCTTCAGGTAGTCGAAGTCGTTCATTGTCTGTAAGAAGTGAACATGAAACCATCTTATTCATTCTGCAAACTAAATGGCTGCTAAAGTATGACTTTTATAGGTGTGTTGATATTTCGGCACCAAGGTCAAGTCAAAAATCATGGTAGATATTTCAAAAAGTACAACTTGAGATCTGAAAAAGTTGAGACGTTATGAAAATGTAAATCAAAATATATATATATATATATTTATATATATATATATATATATATATATATATATATATATATATATACAGTAGTCCCTCATTTACTGTGGGGGATCCGTACCCTGAAGCCCTGCGATAAGTGAAAAGCCACAAAGTAGAAATAGTACAAGTAGTAAGTAGTAGTTTATTTTTGTCTTTATATATAAACACTCTAAAAGAGCACAGAGTGTCATGATTTCCCACTCTCTGCCTCTGCTGCTCTCAGCCACCTGCAAGCGTTCTTGGCCACGCCCACTTCTCCGATCTACACGGAGAACAGCTGATCAGCTGCAGCAGGAAGTTTATTCTGCAGTATGGGCTGCGCAAAGCTGCAGCAGGTGCTAAATATTTTAAAATAATTTGTTTTAAATAAAAATTCCATGCCAATCGTGCAGCTCATCCATCAGTCAACTGTGTGTCATGTCCAATCTTATTTTGAAAAACAGCAATAGAGCGAATTTGAGATAAACGAAATGTGAAGTAGTGAGGTTCTACTGTATATATATATATATGTATATATATATATATATATATATATACATATATATAATTGTTTTACTTTGTTTTATATTACAATGTTTTTACTTTTGCTCTGGAAAGCAATCCCAAATTTTGTTATACTCAAGTGCAATGACAATAAAGTCTATTCTATTCTATTCTATTCTATTCTATTCTATTCTATTCTATTCTATTCTATTCTATTCTATTCAAAAATTACCTTTTAAAAAACAATAGTACAATTTCTTAGTTTTATCATCTGATATGTTTACTATGTTCCATTGTGAATACAATGTGGGTTCATGCGATTTGCAACTCATTGCATTCTATTTTTACTTATATTTGATAGATTGTTCCAACCTTTTATTCAGTGTTTTCGTAGGTTTCTGCTCATGCGTTACCTTTCGTTTGTGATGCGTAGCAGAGATGTCCATTTCCTCTTCGACCATGTTGTCGATGTTGGAGGTGGGGCTGCACTGGATCCTTTCCTCTTCCTGTCTCTGCAGCTTGTCGGCCACCATCTGGATGGCCTCTGTCCATTCGTCCCTGGTTTATGAATCAAACGTTACAGTTAGCCTTTCTTTCACTGACTAAACTGCTATTTTGCTGCATTTTGAATGGTTTTATACTTTTACCCATACAATAATACACATGACTACATCTAGCTATACGTTACACAGGTCAAACATAAAATATGAATCCTATTCTTAACAGAGAGACTGCTGCATTCAACTAACCAGGACTTTAAGGGTGCTAAAGTGTTTTCAATTATCATAAACACCTATTAGTTCAACACAGAGGAAACATGGTCAACCAGAGAATCAACCAAATGAGCAATGATCATAGAGCAGAACTAATGGTGACCAGTCTGTGCGTGTGCGTGAGAGCGTGTGTGTGAGGGCCAATGCATTAGAGGGAACAATGCATTGTTGTTTGCTAACATCGTTCCTCCCCATTGACTTTCCATTAGCAGTGCTGTTCAACATCTGCTGGGAGAACGTGAGCGAGCGAATGTGTAGCTGAGGGCCAGCCATGCATCAGGATGGGTAGACACATTAACAGTTTTTAACTATGATGAATTTTATACACGACACATTGGATCAAACCTCCCTCAGCTTTGATACACAGGAGAATACAAGGAAATAGATTTTTAGAAAAAAAAATTAATTTGGAAACAATTTTTTTTTTAAATCGAGAATAAAAAAGGGTGAACTAATTTTAAGTGTCTCTTTTACAGCCTTTTTTTTCAATTAGTTAGCAAGGAGTGTTAACTTTCTGCCACACCAGCAAACCTAAAACAAATAGGCGATTCAGATGTTCAAAAAAATCAGGACTTGGCAGAAAAAAATTTGAATTTATGAATCTGAGCCTTTAAAGTACATTTATCAGGAGTCTTCCCTGAGGAGATCATAACAATGAAACATGTTTGACTCATAAATAATCATCTTTGTGTTTTTGTTTTGTTTCGAGTCCATATGGTTCCTTAAGGGTTTTAGAGAAACGTTCATCTGAACCTAAACAGAGAAGTAAGGTTTTAAGATCTAAACCTCTTTCTTCTGCAAAGACTTCTAAATGTACCCTACACACTCCAAAACAAGGGCAAACTCAGTTTTCATCCACAACAGTGGAGCATTTTGATTTGTGGCACATGTGATGCGTGTGTACGCGTGCACGTAGCTGCGTGAAAAGCAATGGGAACTCTCTCAAGGTCAGGCAGCAGATAAATGCTCTTTCTTGGTTAAAGTGTTTTTTGTATAATGAGCCTCTTTTTTTTTCTTTTTGCTAATGAGAGATAATGGGCCTGCCTACAGTCGGGCGCCGTGCCAACGCGTGCCACCCTCCCTGCACACGGCTGGGGCTGTGGTAGCTGGAGGCCTGCCAGCCGCCGTACAGTACAACAGATACAGTAACGCACACGGTTGTGGCAAACACTCTTCTTCAACAAGCTTCAACTTCTTACACTTCGCTTACGCTGGATGTGCGCAAACACGCACACCTCACCACAAAAACATCTGGAGCTCGCAGTCATCCGCTGCTAAGATTTGCACGTTGTTTACACATTTCAAACTAATTAATAAAAAGTTATGAAGTTCCTTTCAACTCTCAAATGCTGATTTGATTATCTAGAGGCAAAAACTACTACAAAAGCACTTTATAACACAGACGAAGTTGGACAGACAGCTGCAACCCACACACACATGCATGCACACTAACATGCACGCAACCTCAAAGAATGCACAGAAGCATCTGTGGTCTTCTGGGCAAAGCTGTTCATTTTCTGGAGATAAACACCTCAGCTCCTCAGAAAGGAGCCGAGCAGCTGGAGAATTTATGCCAACACTACTTGAAAGGTCTTCTTTCCACTCTGTCTCTCTCACAGACACCAAAAAGGAACAAACTCTCTACAGTAAAGCCCTTCATATACATGTCTCTGCTCCTAATGATACTTTTATAGAATATAATATTTATCCTACATGTCATATCGTGTTGAGGTCATTTAAAGTCATTTTGATGGTTATTTTCCTTTCTTTTAAGTTTATATTTTAGCTTCTTTTATACATTTTCTAATTGCAAACCTCTTGATCTAAAACACAAAACTGTTTCCTTAACTTTTTTGACGAATGACCGACTTTTCAAACAATTCAGAGTTCTTATTCAAACTTCTGCCCTGAGAGAAAAACAAAGTTTACCGAAACGCTGTCTGTATGAAATAGTCTCATGAAACTTTGTTGTTTTTTTGTTGTACACTTATTAGGTAGTCATTAATCAACTCCTGATTGGAAATTTGAATAATCAAAATCATTACATAAATTATTATTTTTTTTTGTATAAAAATTATATTAACATAAAACGATTGCTTAAGCCTGGCTCACACTAAGTGATTTTTGACTGCCATAAACAGTGCATGTGATCCAGTGCAAGTTTGGTCATCTAAAGCCTTGACAGGAACTCACGTCACACTGTACGATGCATGATTTAAATCATGGCTGTCCAAACATTTTCATATGTGGGCCAAAACCATGAAGGTGAAAGGAGTCGCGAGCCACAAAAAAGTGAAATAAATAAATAAAAAGCGTACATATTTTTAGCGTTTTTGTTTTTTTTAACTACATAAAAAATATTTTGGAGAAAGGACAAAATTTACTAATTTTGGTGGAGGTGGTGTTCTAAATTATTGTAGATTCAAAACATTAAAAGCTTCAGAAATGATAATGTTTTATTTCTTTATTTAATTTATTTGATGTTATTGATGTATTGCCAAAACATTGTATTAAACTTAATATTGCTCATTTTGAGATGTTTTTTAATCCGTTTTGCTGTTAAACCTAAAAATTATATATATAAAAAAATCATTAATAAATTTGCAAAAGGTCTACATCAATTTCTTAAGCTTACGGGCCAAAAGTATAGCATCGCTAAACTGCAGTTATGAGCCACACAAGGGCCACAAATGGCCCTCGTGCCACACTTTGGACACCCCTGATTTAAATGAAGCTGGACTAATACTTTTTGTTGCAGGAAAATTTTACATGTCTTAAAGACATTACAGAGATATCAGTCCATTTGTAAAAGGATATTAAGGGTTACTGTTGAGGTTCACAGTACTACATTCAGATGCTAAACAGAAGAGGAAGAGGAGGGAAAAGAGAAATACGGACACACTCATGACAGGTAAATAGAACATCTGTACACGCTACACTGCATGACTTTCCTAGATAATTTTTGACACTGCTGGATATTTACGTTAGGTTGTCTTTGGTCGTGAGAATGCCGAATCTGCTGTTCATTGGTGATCCTGTTACACTAAACCAGGGGTCTGCAACCTGCGGCTCTGGAGCCACATGTGGCTCTTTGGTCCCTCTGCAGCGACTCTTTCAAACTTTGACCAAAACTAACATAAAACTGAATTTTATAGGAAGTTATACCCACAAGAATAAATGACAGTTTTAGCAACAAAGTCCATGCTCAATAATCCAGGTACACAATCCAAAATTTTTCAGTCAGGTCATCTGGACAGTTTCTTTTTTTGTGCT